GCTTCCGGACTGTAAACTCCTCAGTCAGGGATCACCCCTCCCTTGGTGCCTAAAGGGTGGCCTGGAGCATTCTTCCTGCCAGGATAGCACCAAACTGCCAATTTGCTGAGCATTTTTTATAATCCCAGAGATGTGATTGGAGCCATTGAATAAGATGAGATTTTCAGGGTGGCCTGTTGCTCATGTCTCAGTGCCCTGTTTCAGGTGGCCATGACTGATGGAAAGGTGGCCTTGGGTACGGGGGTGGCCTTGGGTACGGGCTGGGGCCCCGGGGTTGGGGGGGTGCACGTGTGACTGTGGGTGCTGGGGAGCGAGACCCGGCTCACCCCCCTTCCCAGGGCCCACCTCACAGGGGTCGTGAGGGTAAAACATGGACACAGAAGTGGCTCCAGGACACTCACAGTGCTCGACAGATCCATTAGCTGTTCTCATTTCAAGATCCCGAAACACACATCAAAACAAAACGGCAATAGGCTTCCCGCGCGGGGAGGAGCAGAGTCCTCACGAGGCCCTGGCTGTTTCCCGGAGTCCAGGCTCGGTCCTGGGGCCACCTCGTGCACTGGGGTGTGTGCAGACAGGTCCGGCGTTCCCGGGAGCACACGCTGTCTGCCCCATTCCTGGCAGCCTCTCTGTCCCCACGGGGCTCCAGGCTCCCGTCTCGGGCCACCTGACGTCACCCTGCCCCACCGCCTGCCCTACGTCTTCATATATTTTTGTATTATGTCCAGCTTATCAGTATTAAGCAATTCAGTCTTTTCTGGCTAATTCTATTCTGCACCCAGCTCACAAACAACTTGCAAGAAGCAGAGGAGATGTCAGATTTTCTTTTTAAGCACTCCTCTGAACGGTGACTAATCCGGCAGGCATTTTGAGAGGTTTTCTTGTTTTGTTTTTTCTTTTGTAACTCTGGAACCATTAAACCATGGCTGATTATCTTTGCTAAAGAGTTGCTGGTGCCCGTGGAAACACAGCTGAAGTTCCAGCCATTTCCACCAAGGTGTTTTTTAAATGTCATCTGTAAGAAACCCAGCAAGTCGGGTTGGCACCGTTATTTTTTCCTCTGAGCGAATCAGTCATTTCCATAAAAAGCAGATGCTACTGAACCTTTTCCATCATAGCTGCCTGCCAAGCCCAGAGAACCCTCAAGTGAAGATTTCACTGGCCACATGTGTCTTGAGGGCTGTACCCTGTGCCTGGGTGGGGTGGGTCAGTGAGACTGGGCAGCCCCGGGCAGTTAAGTTTCAGAGTAGCCGCAGGGTTAGGAAAAATCCTAGAAAAGGTGTTTGGTTCTAGGCCAAGATTCAGAGTGGGGTAACCACGGGAATGTTAAAGACCAGCCAGAGACCCTCTGAGTTACCCCTGAAAGTATATTTTATTTTATTTTTCTGTGGATGGCCAGTATGGGGATCTGAACCCTTGACATTTGGGAGTTTATCTGAGATCGTATCCCAGGAGAACTACCCCTTCGCTGATTAGTGCTGTTTTCATGGGGTAGTCTTGACACAGTGTTCCCATAATGTGGGAAGCATGCAATTCAGACCAGCAAGCAGGTGGCACCCGCCATTCACTTGGACCTGAGCTCCTGGCCTTCGCCACTCCTGGTGGCAGGACCCCCAAGCACCAGGCTGTGTGGGCCTTGGCTCCATGGGGTGTGGCCTTCCCTTGGTGGCTGTCCACACAGGCATGTTGGCCTCTCGTTGCAGACCTACAGCCAGCTGGCCCACCCGATCCAGCAGGCCAAGGCTGTGGGCCTCCAGTTCCACTCCCGCATCCTCGACATTGACAACGTTGACGTAAGTGCCTCTGGCCAGAAGCTGGGTGGACCCCACAGGGTGGGCAGTTTGGCCCAGATGAGGCCCAGGAGATGGCCTCACCAGGGGTGAGGGACATTGTGCCCATCACGTTTGCCTGTCAGTAGGGAGGAGTGAGCTTCTGGCTCTGGAGTTCCAGCTCAGGCAGGCACTTAGATTAAACAACCTGAAGGAGGGTCCCTTCCTGCACAAAGCTTCCATAGTCCTGTGGAGGGAATGTTCTTAGGCAAGTGGTGGGCACTGCCCCGATCTCGGATTCCTGTGGGTCCTCGTAGACCCTTTGCTGGGAAAGGAAAGGGTTTGGTCACACCAGTGTGGGCCCCGGATGGGTGGCCATGCCACTGTCCCCCAGGTTTCTTCTCCATGGGGAGCTGCAGGGTATGCCATATATGGCTCCCTCTCTCCTCCACCTGCACTGACCCCCAGCAGGCTCAGACTCAGTCTCACAATTCAGGGCTTGAACTTGTCTGTGGGCGGGAGGGTCTCATGTGACATCCCCCTCCGGAAGTGGGCTGGCAGTGGGCCCTGGGCCTGGCCTGAGGTGCAGAGCCCAAGGCCCGAGAGCTGCAGTCAGAAGGAAGCAGACAGTGCTGAACAGGGCCCAGGGGAGGGGACAAGGCGCCCGGGCCTCCTCGCAGCAGGGTCCCTGGCACAGGGGTTCCCTCCTCTAGGAGAGCAGCAGGGAGGGGGGGCTGGCCATTGTCTGAGGCCCCCAACCCTTTGGGCTTCTCCGCAGCTGGCCATGGGTAAGATGATGGAGCAGGGGCCGGTGCTGATCGTCACCTTCCAGGCCCAGCTGGTGATGGTGGTCAAGAACCCCAAAGGCGAGGTGGTTGAGGGCGATCCGGTGAGTGAAGGGATGGGGCTGGGGCCTGTGGCCATCTGGCACCAAGGCCAGAGAAGCAACAGACCTGTGTGGTTTTACCAAGCCCGAGCAGCCCAAGTGGGAGGCCCTGTCCCAGCCTCTGTCCCAAGCCCTGGGGAGTGAGCGGCATTCCTGGTGGCGCCTGTCTCTTAGCAGCCCCTGACCTCTGGTCTTTGTAGGACAAGGTGCTGCGCATGCTGTACGTGTGGGCGCTCTGCCGAGACCAGGATGAGCTCAACCCCTACGCGGCCTGGCGGCTCCTGGACATCTCTGCCTCCAGCACAGAGCAGATCCTTTGAGCGCAGCAGCCACAACAGGAGCTCCAGGGCTGAATCACGCGGTGGACGCGCAGGGGCAGCACCTGCGGCAACTCTAGACCTCTGGGGACAAGACTGTGTGCCCTGCCCCGAGCTCTGCCAGGGCAGCTGCAAAACCAGCTGGACAGGGAAGGGCTGGCTGCTGAGGGTCCCTGGCGGCTGGAGACGCTCCCAGTGCTGGCCCTTGCACCATCCCTTTGCCACTTGGGCTGCTGCTGGGCTAGTGGCTGGTCAGGGACACACAGGCCACACAATGCAAAGAGGCCCTCGGGCCCAGGGACTCCCCCCAGGGGCAGGATAGTGGGGCCTGGGCCTTGCTGCTCAGAGAGGCCCACTGGCTATGCCAAGCCAGGCCATTTTAGGTCTTTTTTATTTTAACAGTGCTCTTATTTCCTGTACGTAAGCCTGAGATTTGAAAATAATAAAACACCAAAGTGCAGAAGAGCAGCTTGATGGTCCAAGGTGTCTGTCTCTTGAGTGGGGGACAGGGGTGGGAGCGGGCCAGCGGTCATGGAGAGGTGTTCAAGGTCATGAAGGAACGGCATGCGCTCCCAGAGGGCTCAGGACCCCGCCCCCGGGGGTTGGAGAGACCAGTGACAAAAATTCCTGCAGTGACCTGCCTGGGATCTCTGAGGGTTGGGGTCCCCAGGGCCGGGGGAGCTTGGGCGCCCATGAATGATGGTTGGGGACATTGGAACCCCCCCAACAGGAAGTCTGGGTGAGGTCTGTCGAGGAGGAGTTTGGGGTGCAGGGACTGAGGTCAGGCTGGGGATGTCCGAGGTGCTTGTGGGGGTGGAAATGGCAGCTGCCCACGCCCCTGAGGTTCTCGGCGCTCGCGGGGCTCCGGCGACAGGAGCTCTGTCCTCCCGCAGGAGGGGCGGGGTCGCGGGCCCGCGCGCCGCTCCCCGCGCAGCCTCCGCCCCCCGGCCCC